TGATGTAGCTCTGGGGAAGGAAGATATAGGTGAGTATGAGTAGATTTATTATTTTTAGCTATGCCCCTAGTTTAAAAGAATTTCATGTGCCCTTTTCTAAATAATTAGAACAAAACTGCTGTATTAAATACTTACTCTAATCTAATGCTTACTATCATAATAAAATGATGTACAATATTAAACAATGTAGCCTTCATTCAACTCTAGTATCAAACCAGTTGATCAATGGGGTGCCAGAGATGGTAGCTCTATCTCCCATACATTCTCATATGCAGAATGTATGCAGACCATCCTCCAGGCAATAAAACTGGCATTTTAAAAAAGCAAATTTACTCATTAGGAGGCATTTAAAAGTTTTCCCAAATACCTCAGTTTGCACTTGAACTCTTTCCTTTCCTAGGCCTCCATGATGTGATTTTAGATGAAACTGTCATTCCACTTGAAATACTGGCAAGGTAGACATCACAGCATTCCAATAAAAAATGACATCAACTTTTTACCAGTTAAAATAAAAACTAACTCAACCACCACAATAAATTCATATGGGAATTGGCTTCAATTTACATATTATAATGACAATTATAAATTTGTAACTTATAAATTTCTGCAGAGATACATTTGGCAGAACAACTCAGCTCAGAGAAAACAATGAGAGATGGCCTCTCGTGTGTGTAGAAACATGGAGGAGGCTGTGCCAAAATCTGAGTTCAAATAACGACGGAAGAGAAGAAATGAAACAAAGGTTAGATACAAGGCAAACGAGGGCATTCTGAATAGGACAGTGCTTTGAGTAATAGAAGTGATAAGCAGACAAAATATTGTGTTTACAGAGGTGAAGCAAGGGTTAAATGATAATACAATGACTTAACAGAGAAGGCAAAAAAGTGGCAAGAATTTCTGCTATATTAGGATTTTATCAGTGACCTTGACAGTCTGGGACACAGTGTTACGAAAATACTGCTTTTCATCTTATTTGCATTCCAAATAATGAGTTTTCAGGAAGGCTTCCTTGACTTCCAGTCTCTCTTCTTCCTTTATTATCTATACTCAAGTATTTAACCAGAGAGTAGTTCATTTACTCGATCAATTACCATGCACATAGAGAGCACCTGCTAAGACAGGACCCTGGTCTGGGAGCTACTGGGAACACAAAGCTAAATAAGAGTTGGACTGCCCCTCTACAGTGTTTCTATCTAGTATGCACAAACCATCACATAACAAAAATACTGGAGCAAAGAGAAGCAGCCACAATGCTCTGGAAGGGGTGGACCATAAAACTCACCAAGACTCACTCACATCCCTGGACTTCTGAGAGTCAATTTACTCTGTCCTTTCTCTGCAACTAGGTTTTTAGAAAATAATACACAATTTTATATTGGTCAGGTCACTGAATCATTAATCAAACCAACTTATATATCTCTGGGTCAAGAAATGGCTTGTTTCCAAAAGCAGTGTTGACAACTGTGAGGCTGTAAGTTAAGTCTCAGCTCCATAATTCAATTCCTGATTGAGTTACTTTATCAGTGAAAATAAGGCATGGAATTGGTACCAGTTTTCAGTTCAATGGTTGAAAATGTTGGAAAGAAAATGGCATGTTTATATTTCTGAAGTTGCCAAGGAATGAGTGTTACCCTCTGATGCCTCATGTAAGAAGAAAATATTCATTTATCTGTGAATACAAAAGGGTTAATATTTGAGGAAAAAGTGTCCTCTTACACATTATATGGACTTGATAAACACTGACAAAATGAAAATTTGAGTTGGATGCTTTAATGTCCATCAAAAATTAATTACCTGTCAAAAATACTCCTCCCTTCCCACTCCTATACACCCACTTCTGCCTCAATTTAGAAAATCAAATTGAATTTCATTCTGATCTAATAACAGATGGCTTTCACGTTAAGCAATTTGAATTATCAGACAGCAAACAGTAACCTACTCAAACATTTTTGTTATCTCCTATCAACTGCCAAACAAAGAAGACCAATACTCAAAGAAGGCAAAGGGAAAAACAAAAAGATGTGATTCTCTTAGGAAACAAATTCAACTACCAACATAAAAGCCGTAATTTCTTGGATACAGGACTTACCTCATATAGTCCGAAAGAAAGTACAGTCATCCCTCAATATCCATGAGGGATTAGTTCCAGGACCTCCCATGGATACAAAATCCATAGATGCTCAAGTCACTTAAATAAACTGGTGTAGTATTTGCATATAACCTACACATATCCTTTCATATGCTTTAAATCATCTCTAGGTTACTTATAAGACCTAATATAATGTAAATAGTAAATATGTAAATAGCTATGTAAACAGTTGTTATACTATATTTTTAAATTTGTATTTTTTTATTGTTGCTTTTTTTTAATCTGTGAAAGCATATGAAAGGATATGTGTAGGTTATATGCAAATACTACACCAGTTTACTTAAGGGACTTGAGCATCTATGGATTTTTGTATCCATGGGAGGTCCTGGAACTAATCCCATATCGATATTGAGGGAGGACTGTACTTTCTAATTTTTTTGTTTTTTTTTTTTTTGAGATGGAGTCTTGCTCTGTCGTGCAGACTGGAGTACAGTGGTATGATCTCGGCTCACTGCAAACTTCGCCTCCTAGGTTCAAGTGATTCTCCTACCTCAGCCTCCCTGAGTAGCTGGGATTATAGGTGTGTGCTACCATGCCCAGCTAATTTTTACATTTTTAGTAGAGATGGGGTTTCGCCCTGTTGGCCAGGCTGGTCTCGAACTCCTGACCTCAGGCGATTCACCCACCTTGGCCTCTCAAAGTGCTGGGATTATAGGTGTGAGCCACTGTGCCCAGCTTAATTGTTATTTTTATTTTTTCCTATTTTTGATTTTCAATTGGTTAAATCTTAGGATGAGAAACCGAGAGATGCGGTGTATTCTGTTGACTAAAATGGCTTTTATAGTTAAGCCCTAATATTTTATTTTTGAATTGAGTTTTATATACATTTATTATAGAAGCCTTCCCTCTCACTTGCCTATTCTCCTTTTTATCCATAGGGCCAATCCTGTTAATCTACGAAGGGGACTGATGAACCAAGATGGATAATCAAGAAATAAAATTTTACCTGAATGACAGACAAAGGAAGTTTTTTTGGAGATAGGTAAGTACCCAGAAGGGTGGAGCACCTGTGTGGTAGCTCAAAGTCATCACAGCTGTGATGACCACACTCAACTGCACTATGTTGACTTCTTGAGCCAAGGCTCGAAAATCAGTAACTGCCAGTCACTGAACATAGGAGCACTCTGCTACAAGATACATTACGGGTTGGAAAAGCATGTATGTACTTCGGTTTCAAAAGCTGTTACTGAATATTCTGAACAATATGGCAACAAATGCAAAAACTGCATATTGTCAAAAATACCAGGCTTGAAACATCTAGATTTTTCCCTTTCAATTCCTGTGGTTATCCCTTCACAACTAAACTCCTGGAGTAGCTCTGTCCCAGACTTCTAACAGTCCTTTACTCTAGTTCATTCTGCCTTCCATCTTTAACCCACATATTCAGTCTGTCTCGTTTTGGCTCATAAACCTTCAACAGCTACTCAGTATACACAAGAAATGTTGGAATCCCTTTGGCTTAGCATTCAAGACCCTATAGAATTCAACCCCAGCCTACCTTTTGAATCATGTGTTTGTTTCCCTGCCAGGTGCAACAAGATATGAATCTCCTTGTTGCACCTGGCAGTCTAATAATGGTTCAGCAAAGCAGTCCTACAGTCTTCTTCCTTACTGTTCAGAAAAAACCCTTCTTCTCCTTTCCCACTCAACCCACACATAAAAATGTCTTCTCTTTTCCTCTCTGTTCATCCCATGTCCTCCTAAAATTCAAGGTCTAGCTCAAGATACACCACAATTTTCTTTCATTACCAATTTCTATAGCATTGACATAGGAACCATGATTTGCCACAAAAATCTGAAGAGAACTGAGATCATGTAGTCCAAATCCTTCACCTTCCACACAGATCATCTCTTTGCACTTTTACATGTTTTTTCATGTGCCCATTTCAACAAATATGTTATAAGCTCTTCATAAGTTGTAAGCTGAAGTTCCCACCTTATATTTTCTTATGTGTTATATAATAAAATAATCTCACTATTTTGCAAATTGGGTTAATTAGTAAATATATCTTCCTTAAATGTATTAAAAATCAGCATATAATGCCTTTCGTGGGAGGTGGTGAAAAAGAAGCAGGGAATTTTTGATAGGGCTCCATAGAAATATCAGCAGTGTAAGAATAGTCTTCTTAAACACCAGATAATGTTGGCAAACATCACTGATCCTCACCACATCACAGAACTTCAGAGATGAGATTCTCAAATGAGGCAAACTCAGAAATGAGCTAAGACGTCTTTTTCTTACATTCCTGGGCATTGAAAAAAAAATCTTAGAGCATGATGGCCAATTTGCTTGCATTAAAGATCATTCTGCTTTTGGCTGTATCAAAATGAGCCCCATCCAAAAAGAGCCATGCCACAATGCCATGCACTATACAGAAATAGGCCTGGTTGTATTCTTTTTTTTAAACTTTTATTTCTGGAGTATCTGTCCAATTGGCACATATAACTCAGAGTGTTTCCAAACTGCTTTTCACTCATGTGACATCACATATGATTATATTCTATATATCTTTTCTAGAATAACATCTGTAGATTACAAACAAAATAAAGACAATAATATTTAACACTGCTGAAACAACTGAAGACTTTATTGTATTTGAGAGCATATTGCTATGAAGCACTTAAATATATTTAAAATGTTGGCTTTCAAAAGTATTATGACTGTAAATCACTCTAAAGTGAGTTTAAGTGTCATCTTAATAAATGCCACAAAGCAAAAATCAATCTACCCTGAAACAAAAACTTGAGATGCAGAGTATTTACAACTGAACTATATTTAATTGAAGTCTTTGTATATACTACTATGTGTATCTGACAAATATGAGAAAAAAAAAACATGCAAAATTCTTACCTTGTGTTTGTTTCTTGTTCACTGCATTATCAGCTTTATGTCGTTTCTAAAGTTTAAAAGCAAAAAGAACAACTGTGAAAATGTGAATGAGATTAATAAAACAAGAGAGCACCCATACCAAAAAAGATGTAGCTTAAGTTTCTCATGGTTTTTATCCTTTCTCATTCATGTCAATGTTAAAGTATACATTGATGGGGGAGTGGTGATGGGAAGAATTAGAGCACGCCTAGGAATTTTAAAATGGAAAGAACAATCCCCAGCATCTCCATAGAGTGCTCCTCTTCTGAGAGCACACATCTGTGGTCCTCACAAGGATCTTCTGTCAGCCACACAGGTAAGTTTAAAATTTTCATGTACTAGAAAAGTATGAACTGAAAGGATGATTTAGTATTTTGCTTTAATAACTCACTTTAAAAAGGAGATTTACTGAGAGAATGATGTATAATAACTATAATTTAATAACAGTATTGATATATTTTCAGCTTCTCATGAAATTCAATATATCATTAGGTTGATAATTTATAATTATCTATAATTTAATGATGTGCTGATGACTGTCAATGACTTGAACCAACGACATCTACCATTGGCATAGAGTCTCTCCTGCTCCCTGCTCCCCAGCACTCCCTCTTCCCACTACTTGCAACTGAAGGCCACTGAATTACATAATCTTATCATATTCTCCTTCCTCCCAAAAGCATCTACAAAATTAAACAATAAATAAGTGAGTTAGTCTAAGTCTAGGTAAGTTTAAAGAGTTGCATAAGCCAAGGTTTTACAGCAGTGGGTAAGAAGAAGAAACAGAGGTCAGAGGAAATGTGAGAATTTGAGTGGCCGTTGAAGCTATTTTCTCTCTGGTTCACTTAGAGGTTTTCCATGGCTTTGGTCTAAACTTACAGCATCGAGTATAACTCATCTGACTCTATTAACACTGCAGAAAAGTGTTGAGTGTATCTCACTGTTTGCTCAAATATCCTATCATATAAAGCCCGAAGTCTAATTTAGCTGTGCGTACCTGACTATAACATGATTGGAACAAATGTAAAACAAATGAGTTCCTAAGTTTTCCATTTGAGAAAAAACATAGTTTTTAGAATCACAGTGCACATATGAAAACACTGCAAGAGAAAAATCTAGAGGTGTGCATTAGTACTCCTCCAGGATACAGCAACACCCAAGAGGAACAGATAAGAGCTGGCAGCGTACACTCAGTTCGTGGAAACAATCAGCTACTGAACTGCACAAAATGCAAACAGACCATTTAAAATGCCTCTGCGAAAGAATTGTTGAGAATGATTCATCCCACACTGACATGCAGGAACACACTAGCACTCCTTTTCAGTATAAAATAATCACTCATAAAAGTGTATTAATGTTGACTTTTAATAGGCATATTATTGCTTCCAAAAGCAAGCACGGTTTGCCAAAAAAAAGATTCTCAAATGTTTAAAGCTCTGTTAAATGTGTAGCATCAGTAGAGATTCTGTAGTTATAGAACTTTGAAAATATTAGTTTTGCTTATTAGATTATAAAAAAATTAGAAAGTGATCCAAAATAACAGTCCATTCAAAGGAGGCACAGATATTTCTAAAATATAAGAGATAATGGTTAGATTTCCAACTAAAGGAGACAAATAATAGCTAATTAATGAAACATTCCACTTCCAAGAGGAAATTTAATCTTAGTGAAACCCAAGGCAATCTTAAACATCACTTTCCATCTACAGAGAATTCCTGCACAAGAGCATCTCTTTCCTTTATCTTCCCATCACAGAATAAATTAGGTTACTTGTCATTAAACAAGTGTGGTGACTATACTAAAGGTTTACTTTAACAGGCATAAAAGCATCTAACTTTTGTACCTTGATGAGATCATTTCTTCTAAAACCAATAGTTCAGAAAAAAATTAAGTTATTCTATGAGTTCAAATACCTCAACTGTGTCATAATCAGAATTCATTTACTATCACTGAGGGCTAATGAATTATTTAATATCATCAGTATTAGATCGACAGCACACCAATAAACTGTATTGTATAAACAGTGTTATGAACTTCAGGCTACACAGTGTGCAATGCTGACCACTCCCTCCTTCTGGAAACTCTTCCCTTCTTAGGTATTTATCACATCATTGCTGGTTTTCCATCTGCACCTTGACCCCTGCTTGTCTCCTCTGCCTACTTGCTATTCAGCGATGGTATTGCTCAAGGCTTACTCCCTGGCGTTCCTCACTTCTCACTCCACAATCTCTTCTTCCAACTCTTTCATATCTGCAGTTTCAATTATAACCAGTACATAAGTATACACCAGCCAAAATTCTCATCTCAGCTCAACAGTTATATCTGGTTGCCTCTTTGACATCTCTCTGGCAATCTCACTGTCCACTAGGCAACCGGTGACCTTAATCCCCAAGACCTGGTCCTTGTCACAGACATGGAAACACATGCCACTCATTTACGCAAACCAGGAACTTCAGAGTCATTCTTATACCTTTGTCTACGTTTCATTCCTATCCAAGCCATTCCTTCACTCAATAAATATTACTAAACACTGACTATGTGCTAGGCCCTGTTACTGCTGCTGAGACTACAGCAAAAAACAAGAGACAAAACCCCTTGCTTACATGGAGCTTACATTCCAGTGGTTGTGGATAGAATAGGGTATGTAGCATGTTAGATAGTGATGTCTTGTCAGTTTGACTCTTAAAAATGTAGTAAATTCATTTTCCTACTTTTTACCATCTCTACCATACCTACTTAGTCTAATATAGCTTCATTTTTTTACACTAACAACTAGAATATTCTTCTAACTAGTCTGCACAAATGCTCTGTTTTCCTTGCAATCAATTTTCCACTGCTTAGCCAAAAGGATCTCTAGATGATAATACAGTTAACATTTATTCATCACTTACTATATACCAGGCATTATTCTTATGACTTCATGTACATCATTTAATTCTCATTAATAGCCTAATGTGAAAATAAATTTTTTTGAGACAGAGTCTCGCTCTGTTGCCCAGGCTGGAGGGCAGTGGCATGATCTCAGCTCACTGCAACCTCCAGCTCCAGGGTTCAAGAAATTCTTGCCAGTGTAATTACTTGATTAATGTTGATCTCCCCTACTGCATATAAACTCTATCATGGCTACTTTTACTCCCTAACATAGTCTCAGTATTTGGTACCTACACATTGTAGACTTTGAATAACTGTTTTATAATGAATAAAGTCTACTAGTATTTAAATTAACAAGTTTATAGCAAAGAGGAAACATGTTTTGTGGTAAATATTTATCAGTTTAACAAATTTGATCTTTATCATAAGCACTAGGATTTAGCCTATACAGCTTTTTAGAAAAGAGTTCTCCATCAATTTTAGAGTATTTTCAAGGATGTGTGTTATCTGTTATTAACAAATAAAAATAGAAAATCATGTTAAGTTGTCTAAAGCATCACAATAGAATACACTGGAGTGGGTAAGTCTTCAGTATCTTACCTGCAGAAATTCTTATTGTATTTTAATCTATACATATGTATATATTTAAAAACATTAATAGAATATAGAAAAGTTTACTAGATTGTAATCTCTGCTTCGTTCACTGATGTATTAGTGGCAGCCATGAGCAGTCTTCACCAATATCCAGCTCCTCACTTCCATGGACCTTGAGATAACACCTTCTCTTTGCCATGTCACTAGTTCTAAAACTGAGCTATAAACAGATGTGTGTACTACTTCGGGGCCAACACACAGAAGAAGTGAGATTCATCCCCTGCTCCCACCCTTGCTACAATAATCACCAATACTCCCCAAAGCAGAACCTTGATTCGGGCTGAATCTCTGATATCCTCCATCATGTGTCTTTGAGTAAGTGAAAAACAAACTTACTTGTTAAGCCACTGACATATGAGACATGATTACCACCAAAGCAAAAGTTTCACACATCCTCATACATATCTTAATGAATGTCTGGCACCTTAAGCGTACTTCAGATGTTCTTGCTGAATGGATGAATGAATAGATGTATTCCTTATTCTCACTGATAAAGATAGCTCTTTGTCCAACTGTCTAAATTGTTATACGATATTTCCCTTATTTTAGGGAGTATTCTTTCAAACTTTCTATCACGTTGCAGTTTGACATAAACTTCTTGTTAAACTACCCTTACAATTTCTAGTCAATTTCTTAACAGCGATTTCACTGGAAAACTACTTCATATGATACTATTATCTCACAATACTATTATCACATTCTTTAGGACTGCATGATTAGTGGCATTCTAATAGCATTCAATTATTATATTATAACAAAACAGTTCTGCTAAAAAAAAAAAAAAACTTCTTGGATACAATTTGATTTCAAAGATGGAGTACTAGAAACCATAGCCAGAGTGATTATAGCTTTGCTTTGTTAGGGAACAAAACAAAACAAAACAAAACAGACAGGAAAGGCAGTTTTGAGTAGTGATATAAAGCAGGAATCTGGAGCCAAAACACCTTGTTTGAATTCTGACAGCCTCAGCTGTGACCCTGGACAAGTTACCGTACCCCTCCTGCCTCCTATCTGTAAAACAGGGATAAGATCAATACACTTTAAAGGGTTGTTATAAGATTTAGTAAATGTAAAGGACATAGAGTAAGTACAACATAGAAGCACAATAAATGTTAATATTATTATTGGTGACTCTTCACAATCATACAGAGCCAACAGCACTGGACAGGACAAAATTCTATCACTTCATTGGACAAGTTACATAACTCCTTACTTTTAAAATTGGGTTAACATCCAAATTTCAAAGTTATTGAAAAAATTAAATGAGAAAAATATTTGCAAAAAACACTAGCACAATGCCTAGTAAATTAAAGGTGCTCAATGAAAATTAGGTTAAACAAGAAAAGGGAAGTCCATAAGGCAAAGAAAGTGACAAAAGTGTAGTAAAGACCAAACCCTGAGGACTGCCAAGTCCTACCACAATATAAAATTTGGCAAGTCTGTGTGGAGCAATACAGGTGGGAATGTCTTAAACTTCTAAGCTAGGGATCCCCAACAAGTATGTCATTTCCAGTCAAGAGGACTATGCTGTTTTACACACATGCATACACATGTACAACATCTGTTTCTACTCTTACTTGGAAAAAACTGATGATCTAAATGTTCAATTAATCAATTTCTAATATGGCACATGCCATCTTAATAAGATCCCAATTCAATGCTCTGTAGAAAAACGTTAATGTTTGTGTAACTTTAAATTGGAGCATTCTAAACAATTTTTCAGCGATTCCTTGCCTTACCATCTTACTTTCCTATGGCTTAACAGACTGTCATCTCACACTGGCAAATAATTATTTTAGAATAAAATACCTAGGAATACAGCTAACTAGGGAGGTAAAAGATCTCTACAAGGAAAACTACAAACCACTACTCAATGAAATCAGAGATGACAAAACAAATGGAAAACATTCTATGGTCCGAATAGAAGAATCAATATCATAAAAATAGCCATACAGCTCAAAGCAATTTATAGATTCAATGCTATTCCCATTAAACTACCATTGACATTCTTCACAGAAAGTCAATGAATTCTTCACAAAATTTCAATGAATAGTTTAAAATTTAATATTTTAAAATTCATATGGAACCAAAAAGAGAGCCCAAACAGCCAAGGCAATCCTAAGCAAAAAGAACAAAGCTGGAGGTATCAATCATGCTACCCAACTTCAAATTATACTACAGGCCTATAGTAACCAAAACAGCATGGTTCTAGTACAAGAACACACATGGACCGATGAAACAGTATAGAGAACCCAGAAATAAGACTGCACACCTACAACAATCTGATCTGTAACAAAGCTGACAAAAACAAGCAATGGGGAAAGGAGTCCCTATTCAATAAGTGATGCTGGGATAACTGGTTAGCCAAGTGTATAAGACTGAAACTAGACCCTTTCCTTACACCATATACAAAACTAATCTCGAGATGAATTAAAGACTTAAATGAAGGCCAGGTACAGTGGCTCACGTCTGTAATCCCAGTACTTTGGGAGGCCAGTGTAGGTGGATCACCTAAGGTCAGAAGTTCAAGACCAGCCTGGCCAACATGGCTAAATCCTGTCTCTACTAAAAATACAAAAAAAAAAAAAAAAATTAGCCAGGACTGGTGGTGCATGCCTATAGTCCCAGCTACTTGGGAGGCTGAGGTAGGAAAATCACTTGAACCCGGGAGGCAGAGGCTGCAGTAAGCTGAGGTTGCATCACTGCACTCCAGCCTGGGAAACAGAGCGAGACTCCATCTCAAACAAAACAAAACAAAACAAAACAAAAGACTTAAATATAAAACCCCAAACTATGAAAACCCTAGAAGAAAACCTAGCCACCATCCTTCAGGACATAGGCATGGGCAAAGATTTCATGACAAAGATGCCAGAAGCAATTCCAACAAAAGGAAAATTGACAAATTAGATCTAATTAAACTAATGAGTTTCTGTACAGCAAAAAAAGAAAAAAAAAAAAACTAACAGAGTAAACACACAACTTACAGCAGATAACTTACAGAATGGGACAAAACACTTGCAAACTATGCATCTGACAAAGGTCTAATATCTGGCATCTATAAGGAACTTAAATTTACAAGAAAAAAACAACCCACCCCATTAAAAAGTGGGCAAAGGACATGAACAGATACTTCTCAAAAGAAGACATACATGCAGTAGAGAAACATATGGAAAAAAAAGCTCAACATCACTGATTAGAGGAATGCAAATCAAATCCACAGAGATGCCATCTCATGCCAGTCAGAATGGCCATTATTAAAAAGTCAAAAAATAACAGATACTGGTGAGGTAGTGGAGAAAAAGGAATGCTTATACGTTGTTGGTGGGAGTGTAAATTAGTTTTGATCATTGTGGAAGATAGTGTGGTGATTCCTCAAAGACCTAAAGACAGAACTACCATTTGACTCAGCTATCCCATTACTGGGTATATACCCAAAGGAATATAAATTATTCTATTATAAAGATACATGCATGTGTATGTTCATTTCAGCACTATTCACGATAGCGAAGACATGAAATCAACCTAAACCTCCAACAATGATAGACTGAATAAAGAAAATGTGGTACATGTACACCATGGAACACTATGCAGCCATAAAAAAGAACGAGATCATGTCCTTTGCAGGGACATGAATGGAGATGGAGGCCATTATTCTTAGAAAACTAACACAGGAACAGAAAACCAAATACCATGTGTCATCACTTGTAAGTGGGAGCTAAATGATGAGAACACAGGGACACAGAGGGAAACAACATACACTGGGATCCATTGGAGTTTGGAGGGTGGGAAGGGGGAGAGGATCAGTAAAAATAACTAAAAGTAACTAATGGATACTCAGCTTAATACCTGGGTGATAAAACAATCTGTACGACAAAACCCTATGACACATGTTTACCTATGTAACAAACCTGCACATATACCCCTGAACTTAAAAGTGTGTGTGTGTGTGTGTGTGTGTGTGTGTGTATGAAATATATATATATATATTTTTTTTAAAGATAGGAAAAAATATGATATATATATGTATGTATGATATATATACATATATACATATTTTAAAGAATAGGAAAAAACCAAACCAAACCAAAACATTGGTTTCCTCAAGAAAGACAGTTAAAATAGAAAAAAGGCCTGAATTTATTTGGCAGAATTAGCTTTATAAAGGAGAAAGTGACTTCCCCTTTCTCTCATTACTATGGAATAATAAAAATAGCAAATTTGGTTACTGTTACTTTCTTTTACTAAAATGAGGAAAAGGGAAAAGAAACTTAGGGAAAAGAAACTAAAAGGAAAAAGAAACTTAGAACTACTAAATCAGGTGAGAAGGAATCAAAGGCATTTAATTAATAAAGTGAAAATTATTAAAATTATTTAAATTAAAAAATAGAAAATAGTAAAAACTATCATTTATCTAATTTGGAGGTTTTTTCATTTAATTTAATTGAAAATAATGTTCAAATGTACTTTTCTCCTTAAGCCAATTATTACAGTAAATTAATTTCTTTTATTTGCTAAACTATACATGCAATAGAACACTGAACCAACATTAAGCAATATTACAGAAAACAAAAAATAACTTCAAGGGTAAAAACATATTCTATACATTTTAAAGTTAAATGATATTGTAAACAGTCCATGCCAATAATAATTTAAGAAAAAACTAATATTTAAAAACATCTATAAATAAAAAGTTGCACATATATGAAAAAAATAGAATACTTACAATATCTTCTATTATCTCTTTGATAGCTGCCACAGCTAAAATAAATAAGAGAGGAACCAGTGTTGTGTAACGACCTGTTGGTGATACATCAGGTATTTGCTATTTGGGGAAAAAAACAGGCAAGAGAAAAATCAATGAGAACTAGAAAATGTAAAATACATTCAAAAAAACAGTCTTAGTGCCTTCTTAAAATATGCCTCACTGGTTTTACTATCTTGGCTGACTTATGCTGGGTGAGGTAATTTGTTCGTATCTAGTAAGTACTGGAAAAGCATGTTATTTTCATGGTAAGCAGTTGTGTATAGGACTATAGCCTCCACTGAAGAATTTGGTTACGTAAGTTACAGTATATCTATTCACTAAAATATAACTATTAAAATGATATTTTAGAAACACAATGATAAATATGTGTGGAAAATATCCACACGTTATATGAATACAGCAGGTTACAAAAATATAGGAATTCTATGATCCCCTTTTTGTAAACTAAATCAATAAACAATGCTTAGGAGGGTAAACTAAATCAATAAACAATGCTTGGGAGAAGAAAAAAAGACCAGAAGGATATATACCCACCATTTAAGAGTAGTTATAAGAGTTTTGTTGTGTTTTTAAATTTTTTTATTTTCAAGTTCAATGAAAAAATTTTTTCAAATTCAAGCCTATGTTCAATATGCTACTTTTTAATAAAATAAAACTTTTTCTGAATACAACTAATTTAAATACAAAGAGAAGCACAAGATTTAAATTCATGCATTCTAGGGTTCAGAGTTGATACTTTTACTATGAAAATTAACATTTTAAGAAAGTGTCCTATCCCCTTTACCACCCAAAATGAATAGTCCTTCCCACATCAAATTTATAGAACATCCAAAATAAGCTGATAAAAATGATCAAAGGGCTTGAAAAAGTAGTGGATTCCAACACTGCTTGCAGCAGCAGCCAGAAATATGCCCATCAAAACCAGCTTATCTCTCGGCATTTAGATAAACCTCAGGGGATTAGTCCTGGACTTAACATTTATTAGTACCTGAATATTTGACAAGGTTTTATGATATGACTTTACCTGAAGCAGTGCAATAAACAGAAAAAATGAATTAGCAGCTCTTCTGAACTGAGAGTAGAGAAATCTTGGAAGGAATGTGATTATGTTGTATTTTGCAGTGCTAGAAAACAAAAATGAAAAGTAGCATAAAACTTCTCCATGATTAGCATCCATACTTACAAAGTTCTGTTACTACCATATAAAAAAATTAGGTAAGAAACATTTGCTGCCTGTTTCAAATTAGGAAAATATTGTAAAGGGTCATTAACTTAAACGAAAAATCGTGAAAACGTTAAATAAATAATAAACAGTGAATACCACAGGTTCTATTTTTTGCATAATCTTTTGTCCTTTTTGGCTGAAAGATTTTTAATTATCCTGCTTAATATTACTAGAAGTAGCTTACAAAGAAGAGCAACTTTGGAGCTAAAGGGCTCCAGCCCTCCATAAGATAGAGTACAACATGGGACTAGAAAATATAATCTTGCAAAAAATACCCCCCAAATCAGCAATTTGATCAGACACTTGTAAACAGAGATGGCTTTCCTGGATAAATTCAGGGAGATTTCTAGGGTTCTGCTTGAATTTTCTTCACTGCCACTCCAGGAACTTGGCTAGAAATCCACACTAAACACACCAGATATGCCCACATCAGTAAGATATAACCACTTAGGTCTTAGAAACATCCAGATCTTCCTCACGTTTATCAAACAGAAAGGAGAATAAAGAGACACATGTCACATTACCCACGCTGAGAAATTTTACTCTAGAATTTGAAGTTGTACATATTAATTTTAAGTGGGCACTTCTTAAATCTAGTAACTCTGCCACTGGAAAAACACTTTACTAGCACTGGAGGTGTTTATGTGTTCCTAGAAGCTGCCTAAGTGGCCAGTGCTTATGCAGAAACTTTTTACATTATTGTTGGAACTAAAACACAATTGTGCAGTGAAGCAATTCACGCAGCCCTCCATCCCTCCACATCATACTAAATTTCACAACTATCAAAAAACAATATTTAAAGACTTACATAATCAAAAGGAATTCTCAGAGCAGAATTGCAAAGACCTCTTCTAAAATGTTAAAACTTGTTAACCAAAACCAGTAATTCATCTCTGTATTAACAGGTTTAGGACAGAGGCATTTACACATAAGCAGATTCCATTATTCAGATCATGAAGAATTGGCAATGAATGGGTGCTTATTCTTTCTGCTCCTTGCTATTTCCAGATTCTTATTAATATTTCTCTACAACATAGAAGATGGAAAAACAGACTATTCACACTGCCACAATGGAGCTCTCAAATATTAACTGAATGCCCAGAAAGCTCTTTGCAAGCATTTTCATTTTGACCTAACCAGCTCTGCTCTGTTGGCTGGTCTCATGGCATTCTTTGGTAGTTCTTACCTGACATGGTTATTACAGAATTTTGTCAGCTGGGGCTGGTTGATGAAAATAGTCCTCACTTCCTCCTGGTCAGCCAGTGAGGTCTTCTCTGAAACATCATCTGTCTTCTCATAACCTTAAAAAGAGTTCATCTTCTTATTGGACAGGAAATGTGTTACGGTCCAATCCACATTTCCTAACTAGTCTAGAATATGAAATCTGTTAAAAGCTACTTGCTTCCCCTTACTGTTGTTTCTAATAAAAAGTAACATCCCCATATTTAACAGTTCTACTAGATTTAAAGGGTAGCATTTAATAGTCAGGTAAAAACTGAGCCATGTCAAAAACAAGATATAACATAAGCTTTAAATTTCCAACCGTAAGTATTCAACTTATTTCCTTCCATTACATAAAAAGATGTTCAGAAGTAAAAATTAATTTTTAACTGGTTTAAATTACAGTTTTAAGTAAAACTAACAAGATAAAGGTAATTTAAAATATAGTCAAAAATTTAAGCATACGTATTTAATGCTTTTCTGTTTTTTTTCCCCAGATGAAGACAGAAGAAAAGATAAACAGTAAGGTTTAAATAGGAAACCATAACAAAGAGCCAACTCACTATCATCACCTATTTTTTTCTCCAGCTAGAATTCATGTTCACAAATGAATTTTAAAATTCTCAAGAGCACTTCAAGTCATCTCATAATCATTGAAACAATGCAATAGATTCAACCAGGTACTTTGTTACAATGTTGACAAACACTTTCAAAAATACATACAATTTATAATACAGAATATGAACAGATAGTATTTTAAATGGCTTTTTGTGCCTTCTAGTGAAAATCAAAGGGGTGACAATAGTACTGTATCGCCAAAACCCATTTTTTTTCTCTTTTCTGCCTAGCCAGTGCCAACTTTTCCCATAAGGCCTGCTGACATGTGGTTTCTTCTGAAGTGTTCTATGATATTAAAGTTAGGGGAACTTCTCTGGGTTTCCACAGCCCTCTGAACCTCCCCACTCTTCAGCAAAACACTAACCAGGTTTTGTTGCTGCCTGAGTCAAGTTCCCCCTACCAGAATGGGAACTCCTTAGGGCCATAGATGGTGTGCTACTCATCTTAACACCAGCGCCAACAAACAGCAGGTACCCAATGTTTGCTGAATACATACACCCAATGACAAAGGAGTGGTTATTTTACTGTTTTTTGAGGTCAAGAAAAGCTGCTCCACCCAATGATAAAAAAACAACTGACGGCCAAGTGCAGTTAACAAACTACATAAAAAGCTGATCTGTGGGATTTGTTACAGTATGAAACCAGAGGTGAGAAGCATAGCACAGGGGACTAGGGTGTGAGAAACAGTGTCATCTGTGCAGGGGAGAGCAAACAGGGCAGTGCTGCTGGAGCACAGACAGAAGGCAAGGTAGAGACGGATGAGAAACCATGCTGAGGAAACACACAGGCCAGGTCCCAGAGGACCCTGCGCTCTGCTTGGCAGCCAGCCACTGAAAGCTTTCCAAGTAGGAGGGGCATGGGGGAGAGGCACATTGTATCCTTATCACCCTGGAGTTCACATGGCTATTAGGTACTGTTACACCCATTTTATGGTTTCAGACTCAATCAGCAGCTTTGCTCACGGTCAGTCTTTCACAGGTTTTTTACATCATGTTCTAAACACATTAGTTCTCTCTCTAGTTTCATATAATTGAAATTTCACACATGGATTATCAATAAAGGGAGATCAACCTTTAAGAAAATTAAGAGTCCTTTATTAGCTCTTCCTTCATGGTAGCACAAAGACCAGAATGTGCTGTTCCTAGCCTCTCTGGTATTAGAAAGACAGCCTTGACAAAACCATCTCTCCACTCCACTCTGAGCTGATGTTCTCAGGTTGTGTTGTATTTACTTTACATAATGGACTTTTGAGTCTTGTATTTACTTTATGTAATGGAACTTTTGAAGGCATGGCCCTGGGATGTCCTTAGCTGAGAAGCTGGGTGTTACTCCCTCCAGACACACCTACTTACACGGGGGTCTCAAATGCTGCTAGGAGAGCACTAGATACTGCTATCCACTGGAAGCAGTTGGATACTGCATCTCCCCATCAGATATTAATTTGTATTCATGAATTTCTGTGGGGCAAAGGATTTTCCTTGAACTAAAGGGATTGGAATCAATCCCATCCCTTATGTGGAAATCAGAGTAATGAAAACAATCCTAGGGGCCCAACCTAGGTCAGAAAGTAAGGGATCTTTAAAGAGAAAACTCGCCAAAATGGGGAAAAGTCTACATTGTAACCTGTTGCCAGGGGTGGGACCACTGAAGGGACTGGATGGCTCTGAGCACAGGATATCACAGGGTTTCTTTACCCAGGTACTACAGAAAAGCTTTGGCAAGATGTTGTACACGAAGCTGAATGTATGCAGAAAGCCTGGGGAAGGAGATCTCCACCGAAAGCAGAGAGCGAGGCTCTCCGCCAGTGAGCTGGCAGGCACCTCTCCTTTGTCTCCTCAGCAGTGACATGGAGAGCCAACAGGCACCTGAAACCCACTCCCAGAATGTCTAAAGGCCAGAGGTTGTAGGTGCAGTTATTTCCTTGTGTTATGCATCTGTTTTATCTGTTGAATCCTAGCAGGTGACAGCCAGCTAACAGTAAACAGGCATAGCAACCTTGGAGGTTCTCAGAAATATCTCAGTGAACATACTTGACCTCAGAGATCCTCAGCAATATTCCGATGAAGGTACTTGGGAAAAAGACTAGTATTCTTGCTAATTTTGAAGTGAGAGTTTGTAATCATTATAATTAGACTTTTCAATGAAATCATCTTACATTGCAGAAATGGGCAGGTTAGGTCTAGACTTAATGTTAGTAAACTATCAATCAAGACTCTCTTAGTGTCGAGAGAAACAGGCTCTTCTATTTGATTAATGAACCAACACTTGGAGGAAGGTATGTAGCAATTTTTATCTCACAGTTCTGGGTTAGAGGCAAAAACACATTTGCTACGTTCAAAATCGACAGCTATTCAATATGTACCAGATAATTCTATTTTATGATTTCATTTTTAAAATTTCCTTTGCATATCACCATCTTCATCAGCTATAATAAGCACATAAAGAGCTACCTGTGCACACCTGGGCAATGCCTAGCTGAGCTGTTGGAGTAGAGTGGTAACAAAAGCAATCAAAATAGGAGAATCCCTTACCACCCTGCCACAAAGAGGGCCAAACTAAGATGGCGTTCCTTCCTAGACATGGTTTTATTCTTCCTTTTAAGGAGGGAAACCATATCCCTTACTATTTGTTTAATAATTTAGAGAGTTCGTTCACGTAAGTCATTAAAATTTACTCATAGTTTTTAATTCACCTGTCTTAACTCCTAAGGACTACTGAAAACTGTGATGCTTTATGTCATCCCCTCACAGAAAGCAGAGGAAGGGGAGTGTAGTTCTGATCTAGCAACAGTTCTCACTGAGTCTTCCCAGTAGGTCAGGCCTTCAGAAGCCTTCTTTGTCCATAAGTCATGCTAAAGGTGAAATTTACTGACAGAAAGAAACACTTCTTAATCATGCGCTCTGGTATCTCTCTCAGCTTTTCCTAGCACAATCTTGCACAAAGAGGGCACACAATACTTGCACATTTAATGGAAATGGACTGCAAGGCATTCGACTGACTGCTTTCGAGATCCACTCAGTGACCCATTCGTCTTCTCTGGGTTCAGACTGAACTCTGAAGCCCACCATGCAATAGTTTCAAACCCCCACATTAAGTATAGTCGAATGAACAGTATTTGGCAAATGGCAAAGCCAAGAATAAAACATGACCTTAGGCAGTTACTTACTTTCACTAGGCTTCAATTTCCTAATCTATCACAGAGAAATATTATGTGTTCATCTCCTGGAATAGTTGGAAGTAAATGAAGGAATATGTGTGTAATGTACTTAAATACCTAATATTGTAATAGATTGAATAAATGTAATCTATATTATAAATGTCTATTATACTTAATGAGTTAACAGGGTAGATAATTATATAGTCATAGGCTGAGCCTTTCATAAAAATTAGAGGTGTCTTCTGCGTTAGAGGTTGAAGAATGTTTTGGGGTGGTAATTCTTTACCTTGTGGTGTAATTGACAGTTCACCTGCTTCCCTTGCTACATGGTAAGTTACGTATTATACCTCTGGTTCATAGTAAGCCCTCGAAGTCTAATGAATTAACAAGCGAGCAAAACCAGATTAGTAATATACAAGAAACAGATTTTTCTCTTTCAAGTAGACATACGTTGTCCAAGCCTGTAGGTTTGATGTATGAATCCAAACAACAATCAGTAAATTTATGATGAGAAATACCTGCCATAGAAACTAGACTAACTGAAGTTCCATAATCAATTCAACTCTCCCAGATTGGCCTATGTAGAAAGTTAAATGATCAAAGTAACCCACCCACCAGTGGTTAGATGAAATAAGACTCTCATAGCATTGGGGAAGCACAGCCTGATGCAACCAATCCTGCTAAAGGGGTAGATGCATCTGTAGGACAAACCTCTTAAACGTTTGTTGTAATATCTTGGCAATGGAGCCACGATACTTCAAGTCTGTTGGCTAATGCTTCTCTTCCCTTCCGCAGTGCTGAGAAGACTGAGGATAATGTTTAACCCAATGATTTACTCCTTCCCTGACCATCTCCATCCTCATTTTCATCTTCAAATACAAATTGATATTTAATCTTCCAGTGGGATTACCAAACCCTGCAGGCCTAGGAACCAATCTGGCCCCCTTGCAGGTGACTTCGCTCCTAAATATGTTGATCTTACAAAGAAATGAGAAGGCATACTCATTTCCCAAATTTCTAAGTTGTTGGAGGCATCTCAACATGGCCCACCAGCACAGACACACAAAGCAAATAATGATAGTAACACCAGATACATGCTCCTTCCTCACATTTTGGATTCTCCAGGAGACTGACTCAGGCATTCACCCCAATGTCCTTGGTGCTCAGTCAGATATTTGACATCCACTAATAGCACTATTAGTCTTCTTAAATTAAGTTTCATAGAGCAAATTGGCAGGCAAATTCATACACCTATCACTTTGAGGAATGGAACTAGGCTAGGATCGTTTTCTGTGTATGAAAGCATATTTGTATAATGGCTTCAGGGAAATCTTAGCTTCTTTCAACATTGTGTTCTCCAAGGTAACTTCTTAAAAACAGTCAGAATCAAACAAGTCTCCCAGAATAAATGATTCTGGTCTAGGTTTTATTGAAATGAGCAAGGAGAAGACTTTTCCTTATTTATGCCAAATGCAGATTATCATTCAGTAATTCAGAATCCCAGCTATATTGAAAATTCCATATATAGTGTTTGCAATATTCTGCTTGATTCCTATTTCCCCCGCCAGCAGAAAATCAATTTTGTTTTCTGAACTGTGGTTTATCTCAAGCAATAATAAAATTATCCAGTATTTGCTATGCATATTTTATGCATATTCTAAACATTAAGAGGCCAAATTTTATATTCTTCATTATAAAATGGCCAAATGCTATTTCTAAACTTCTGAAGGACCAAGAATTTCAGTATAGGGAATAGTCACATATAACTTTTAACTACTGAATGTGCTAATAAGAAAATATTACTTTGTATTACCAAATAAATATATACAAGCAGCATCCTCCTGGTGACCATTTCAGCTTCCAGCAATAATTTGATTTGTCAAGAAAACAAGGGATGCTGGTGGGTCAGTATCCTAATTATGACTCTGAAGTGAGCAGGTGTCCATCTTCCCAGAACAGTGTTTCATCACTTAACCCATTTAGGGGTTGTGAGGTGAGCTCACGTTTTTCTACCAATTACCCACGTGACCCTGCACAAATCACTCCATCCCTAGGGGTTATTCTCTTCCTCTGTAAAATGGGAAGCCAGGCTAGGCTAATAATCTGACATTCACTCTCAGCTCTAAAATCCTGTAAAATTAATACCTGCTGGGCAGCAGGCATTAAAACGATCAATAGTTTTGTTCAGAAGAGCAGGGAAATTTTAAAAAACAAAGTAAAAAAATTTCCCTCCTCGAGTCTTTACGAGATGTTTCACAGCAACAGTTGCCTTCCTTAATCTGTAGCCAAAACTCGTCACGAAGTGAAATGGTGGTTTGTTACGGTGACTCAATTTCCATATTTGAAAAGCTAAGTGACTATAATCAGCTGCCAACAACTACCTGGTACTTACTGATCAGTGACTACTGGGTTGCTGAGTATGATCACACAGAGTATTCCTTTCTTCGTCTGCCCAGATTCATCATTACATGCTTATATGCACACCGTATAATGGAACAGAGGAAAATGCTCAATAGTATGAGTGAAAGGCTTCTGCTCTGCTCATAGGATGACAGAAGTATCATCTCTGAAATATTCCATTTTTCATCCCAAATACCATGATCCAATAAGACCTGTTGTTCATTCATTTGTTCATTCATTCATTCAACATACTTAAGAATCTAGTATGTGCCATGCATTTCTAAAATGCTATGGAAACAGCAGAAAATAAGATAAGGTCCTCTCTCAGGGACTTATTTTCTAGGGAAGAGTAACATAATACAGATCATGTTAAGAGTGAGGAAGAAAATAAACAAGTGATTGATAGAACAATTGACAGAATTATCTGTGCTTAAGTTTCATTATGTATATAATAGAAAAAATAACGGCACCTTGCCTCAAAGGGTGGTTGTAAGGACCTAGTGCATACATATAGAGAACAATACCTGGCACTAGTAAGAGTTCAGTAAGGAATGTGAGCTATTTTCATTGTTGTTGTTATCAGGGCTAGTGATGCTACTATAGCTGCTGCTATTTTATACTTAGTTGTCAGAGAAGATGTCTCAAAGAGAGGCTGAATTGAGAACTTGATGTCATATAAAGGTAGGTAAGGGGCAGTGTCAACCCAAAAGGGGGAGTAGCAGGAAAAGCCCTGGAGGAGAGAATGAGCCTGGCATTTCCGGGAACATGAGGGCCACTAATAGTAAACAGAGCATAAAACAAAAAGAAGCTGGGCCAGATTGCGAGAAACAGTAACAGCTTGAATTTATATTCTTTATGCAGTAGGAATTCACTGACAGATTTAAGTAGAAAAACCATTCTGAGGATACTGTGATAATCCAGGTAAAAGATGATGAGTCCTGGGTTAGACTGTGATGACAGAGAAGAAAGGAAGTGGATGCACACATTATATGCCTCTGGAGGCAGAGTTGGCATGAGCCATATAACCTCTTCACAATTCTATGATGCCCCATAGTACTACCACCTGACGCTACACCAAGCAAAAGCCCAAGACATGAAAGAAATGTAAGACTTTTAAAAATCTCACCCACAATGTTTTATTTTGATCATGTGCTAAATTTATAATATTTTGGATGTGTTGGGTTAAATATATTGTTCAAATTAATTTTGCCCATTATTTTAGGATTGTAAATACAACAATTAACCACTTAATGAATAGAATTCTCTTTACAGCCAAACAACCTTAATCCTTAGATATCATGCATCATTTTTCTCATTATTACATGGTAACCAATAATGTTTAAAATACAGAATATAATCAAGGAGGGCATTAGAGAATCATGCTTAAGAAGAGAGAAAATGTTTAGGTCTACTAGTTATGAGCTCTGGTTACTTTAGACAAGATAATTAACCTTTAGTTGGCTACCCTCTTACGTGCGTTTGTGGAGATTACATGAGATAATGTATGTGTAAAGTGCCTGGCTCCTCATGCATATGTAAAAAATCTAGCTATTATTTTTATTATGAAATCAGAAAGGCAGGTGTGGGAGGAAATAAATAGACTATGTAGTCATACATATGTTCAAATTCAGATTATAACACTTCTACATGGGCAAATTATTTAATCATCTGAGTCTCAGCTTCCTCACCCATAAAATATGGTTAATGTGAGGATGACATTATGTCAGCATTGTAGCACAATACTTGTCATTCAAAGAGTTCCTGTCACATTCTCCTCCCCAGGGATTTATCTCCCCTTCAAAATACTTGATATGGAGCCAGGCACAGTGGCTCACACCTGTAATCCCAGGACTTTGGGAGGCAGAGGCGGGCAGATAAACCTTAGGTCAGTAGTTCGATACCAGCCTGACCAACATGCAGAAACCCCGTCTCTACTAAAAATACAAAAATTAGCCAGGCGTGGTGACGCCTGCCTGTAATCCCAGCTACTCAGGAGACTGAGGCAGGAGAATCGCTTGAACCCAGGAGGTGCAGGTTGCAGTGAGCCAAGATCGCACCATTGCACTCCAGCCTGGGCAACAAGAGTGAAACTCTGTCTCAAAAACAAAACAACAACAACAACAACAAATACTTGATAAGGGAAAAGGAAAAGCCTTAAAGACTCTAATGTAGGTATTAATATTTACTTATTTTGGATAACATTTATAGTTGTGACCAGTGTAAATCAATGTAGACAGCAAAATAATAAATTTTGCCATGAAATTTGGTAAATTAATATTAAATAAGTAATTTTTTTTTGTTACAAAATTGTCATCTGTATAGGGGTTATGCAGCAGAAATGCAGGGGTGGTAGGTAGGAGGGAGACAAGAACAAGATACAAAATCATTCTGCTGCCTGGTAATATGGTTATAGAACCATTAAGTTTTTTTGCAGACTCAACTTTATTACAATTATAAGTAAGGCTGTAATTGGAATCAGAATATCTATTATATTATTTCCTAAACATATTCAGGAGAGTCCAATTATATAACCTTTTACTCAATGGTTTCCAATGGTTGGCATTAAAGAGACCATATTAATTGCTCACGTTTCTTGCCTTAGATTGAGGTCATTAAACAAGCAGTCATGCTTGCAACAGTCAAAAAATCTATTAAGAGTATATTAACAGGGAAACTAGACAGACTTTAAGGCACAACTGCAGAACTTAGGTGTGATTAAAGTTAGGTGCTACTAAGATGGAATTATAAGCAATTAACCACTATCCTTTTCAAAGGCTTAATAATTTAAAGTCCTGAATATATATATACACACACATATATATATTTGTATATATTGTTTTGATACAGATGTTTAAGAATACACACACACAGGCTATTAGTCATATACGTGTGTGTGTATGTGTCTGTGTGTGTGTGTGTGTGTGTGTGTGTGTGTGTGTTTAAGCTTCTTAAGCGGTTGGAATAGCTCCTGGAAGCATATGAAAAGCTTACAAAAAGGCTGAGGAAGATCTAAGGCAGCTTGACTAATTGGACAATCAGTTCACCCAGATTCAGTCCTGTCTGTGTTCCACCTTTTCATCTCTCCAGATGGCAAATTGGCTGTGATTGGCTTAGCATGGGCCATGTGCTGACTTTTAAGTCAAAGAGAAGCATAGTAACTTATGGAGCAGTCCCCTAAAACTATGGGGGAAGGGAAAATTCGCCAAAGGAAAGCAATGGGCTTAAGAACAGACACACACACACACACACACACACACACACACACACACACACTTCTTAAACTGGATCAAAACAATCATGGGCTGACCAATTTAGATGTTTGTACTTATTTTGTTTTTAGTGGTATCTTAGTACAGATAGTTGATTTAATAATAAATGCAGAAGCAATTACTGCAGTGACAAAGGAGGTTTGAAATCCCATGTTCTGCATTGTTGGAGCAGAACAGTCACTTCAAATGTTAGATTGTGACAGCTGTTCAGAGACAGGGAGAGAGAGACAGCTCATGAAAAGAAGGAACCACCACTCTGGAAACAATAAACTGGAGGCTTTAAAGCTTAAGACTTACACACTACATTTTCAAATATGGCACTGAAGAAATCAAACACCCTTAAAAGCATGGAAATTAAAGTGGAACCTATTTAGCAATACCTCTCAGATTTCTAAACCATGACCACAGTAGCCAAAGGAAAAATGAATTTTCAGTTGCATTATAATACACCATCCCTGTACCAAGTGTTAATGCAGGCTCGGTGCAGTGGACAATCTGCTCTTTCCAGCTTGGCATCTGCTTCTCCTGGAAGCAGTCCATTGCTTACCAACTTCCCCTACCCCCATAGTCTTAGGGGACTGCTCCATCAAGGCTCCATGCCCCGCATTGACTTAAAAGTCAGCACGTGACCCAGGCTAAGCCAATCACAGTCAATTTGCCATCTGGACAGATGAAAAGGCTTAGCACAGAGGAATGAATCTCTGGTATTAGTCAAGCTGCCTTAGATCCTCCTCTACCTTTCTCTAAGTTTTTCATGTGATTCCAGGAGCTACTCCACCTGCTTAAAGGATATGCTCAGCCTCTATACTACGGAATCTTAGCAGAATCATTTCAGTCCTCTGCTGGAAGCCAAGTCCTGTTCCAACACCCATCTAATGTAGATGGGCACTGATGCCCTACCCAGAACAGCTAGCCTTCTTCAAGAAGCTAAACCCTGTTCCCTTTACACCTCAAC